CTTTTCTCCTCCTCTTTACCAACACTTACCTCTTGCCTTTTTGATAATAGACATCCTAATGAGGTGATATCTCATCATGGCTTTAATTTGCATTTTCCTAATGATTAAGAATGTTGAACACCTTTTCAAATGTACCAGTTAGCCATTTGAATGTATTCTTTTGAAAAATGTCTATTTACATCCTTTGCCCATTTTTGAGTTGGATTTTTTGTTACAATCTCCTTATTTTTAATCTATGTGGATCTTTATATTTAAAGTTTCTTTGATATTTTGTTAAAATTTGGTCAATAAACTGAAAACTTGTTCAAGTTCCCAGAGGTAGAACATACAGAGGCCTCCCTGTGACTGGGTCCCCTTGGAGTTTTTGACTCTAAGACTTGTCCACGCTAAACTTCCACCAATTCATTAATTATAATTCAAGTTTTTTTATACCAACACTTGTTCCTATGGAGTTTTCAGCTTAGCAATTTCTGCTACACAAAATTGTGATTCTCTGTGTCTACCTCTCCACCTTGGGGAGCAGCAGTTTGTTCTGTGACCTTACTTCTCTGATAGATTTAAGAAGAGTTATTGGGTTTCCAGTTTACTCAGCCTTTTACTTGTTAGGGCGAGTGACAACTTCCAAGCTGCTTACTTGCCAGACGGGAACCAGAAGTTGGGGTTTCTTTTTGGAGTGATGAATATGCTCTGTGACTATACTAAAAACCACTGGGAAACACTTTTAAAGGTGAATTTTATGGTATGTCAGTCATATCTCAAAAATAAAAAATAAAAAAAAAAATAAGAGAAAAAACTGGCCAGAAATCCAAATGATTTCTGTCACAGTTTTCATTTCTAATGTCAGAACAAACAACACCTTAGGCAAGGATATTTTTGACAAAGGTAATCCTGTAATAAAATATAATTGCTTTTTAAAATAAGTCAAAAAAAAAAAAACAGTCTATAACATAGGTGAAGGGGCAGTTGTGTAATTCTGTCAATAAAATTTGTACGGTATATTCTTTGGCTTGAATGAAATAATGTTCACTTTTAGTGAATTTAATTGAAGGTGCTTTGTGTTTTCTCCCGAGCAGGATTCAGGATGTAGAAGTCAGGCAGGCAGCAGTCCTTGTTCAAAGACTATTCAGAGGGCAATTCTTCAGCCTGTGGGCTAGACCAGGAGACTATGCAGGGTGATGCTTTAGGCTCCAAGCAGAAATTGGTTTAGTCAGGTTTAAAACTCTACCGTTTTATTGGGAAAAAGATCCTAAAAGTTGACTCAGGCATTGGCTGGGAATCTAGAAAGACTAGGGATTGTATAAACTAGGAAGGCAGAGGGGATAAAGACCTGGAAAAAGGGAAAATAGATTTGCACTGATAATCCTTGGGTGGAACAGATCTGTGTCTCAATACTGCAGCTGTGCCTAAACCACCGTGATGAGGAGTTCGTGTTAGACTTTAGAGAACGGCTTTGAAAAATATCTACTTTTGATCTTTCTGAGGTTAGGTAGAGTTGGGGCAGGCCTAGAGTGCAGATAGAGTGAAGATAGATCCAATAACAGAAAGACTGGAGAGGCAGAGCTTGGGGAATTCAGGCAGAGTCTGGCATGTGGGAAAGGTTTTCAGTGTGTTAAAGACTTATGGTCAGGAACTAAATTGTCTGGATTTCAATCCTGGGTGTCATTTACTAGCTGAGTGATAGACAAAGTACCTCTTTATGCTTTAGTTTCCTTTTCTATGAAATGAGGAAAGAAATAGTATTTTGTAGGGCAAATTGTGATAACTGTTATATAGGTAAGTTTTCATTAAAAAATCAGAAAATGAATATCAATAAACATAAACCCATTGTAAAATTATATATATGTATATATATAATACATATTATATATATACCTATATAATGTGCGGCATGTGCACACACACGCACAAACATATAAAAAAAGAAATCACTGAGTAAAAAAATTTAAGAAGTCTTATTAACTTGCCCTAAAAAACTATGTTCTCAATTTCATGGGCTCAGGCTGTTAAGTCTAACACATGTTGTTTAATGGACCACAGGGATCAGCAGATGAAGAAAATATGAAGACTGTGAAAGAATTCACATCTTACTAAAAAATGCATTCTCCAGCACAATCCTAAATTGCTGAGAAAAGCAATCCTGGCTGTGATGAAAGACTGAACAATGTCCATAAACTCAATGAATTGCAGCGAGGGAATCGGGTTTGAGTTAACCCTAAAACCTCAGCTCAAATCTGCCTCTTTCCAGCACTTTTACTGTGGGTGGGGAAATACTTTCATTGGGAAAATATCCATTTATTTGAGTGTCAAATTTTGAAGTTATAATACAATATGCATTTATATTTCCTTGGAAATTGGTGGAATAGAAGAGGGGAAGAGAATATCCAGTTAACAGTAAATAAATAAAGTTAATGTGAATAGTCACATTTTATTTTTAAGTATACTTCTCTAATTCGAAATGAAATTATGGAAAAAAATAATAATGGGCATTTTCTCTCAACTTTTATACTTCACTCCATTTCTTGCAGCAGCTAAAATCAGAAAGAAGGTGAATAGTATATGTTATATCCTAATAATGTAACTTGTAAAGAAAGAAAAAAATTATTTTCTAAAACTCTATCTCAAGTTCAGCTCATTGATTAGTTTATTGGCACTGGACAGACCTGGGTTTGATTTCTGCTCTACTTGTTACTCAGTGTGTAGCTCAAATTTTTCAACTTGAGCTTCAGTTTCCTCTTATGTAAAGTGGTCATATTAGTTACACATCCTTACAGGTACTTAAGTACTTGACATAGTACTTAGCACATACTGTTTAAAAATCCTGGCTATTATCATTTTATTCTAAATTTATATAAGCTACATCATAACTATGCTCTTATATTAAGCCAAAAATTTATGTTTTTCTTGGATTTAAGAAAACCCAATGGTTCCATAGTTTGTATTTAACATGGACATTTATTTCTTCTTGAATGATACTGGATCTGTGCTGACCCCAGACTTTACTATTAGTTCATCAACATTTTTGGATAAAAGAGAAGAATTTGATATCCAATTCATTATTTCTGTAAAGTTAAGGAATCAGCAGCCTGCACAGCTGAATGAAAATCCTAGAAATAGCCATCTTAGCAAAAGTGCTGACAAAGAAGAACCTACCTATTAAGGCTATTCTCAAGGAGCAATTTGTTTCCATAACACCTAAGTAGAGAAAGACAAAATTTCCCATAGTCCCCCCAAACAGAAATACAGCAAGTAGTTTAAATTTCCAGGTTTGGGTAAGAAAAGATGATGATATTTTCAATATACATTAAAAGTTAGTTTGAGAATATTTTTCTTATTCAGTAAACTAAAAGGCATTTTTAGGCTATAATTTGAATTCATATTAACATTCAATGTAAAAAATTCTGATACTTGTTTGACTCACAAGACTAATCATGTAAGTTTATAAAATCTACAAGTCCTTTTTGCTTAGTTTAGAAGGGAAAATAACATAATAAAAAACACCTTCTTGGTAAAGATGGACTTATGAGGAGGAAGCCAAGAAAATTTCAGGATATAAGTCAATATGATCATAAATGAGAATGAAGGAAATTGGGTCATTGTTAATTCATTTGTTTTAGAAATATTTTGTTTTAAACTTCTAAGTTCTTGGCACTGTGCTAAATGCACTGAGGACACAGAGATATTTAAAACAGTCCCTGCCTTCAAGAGGCTTCAAGAAATAAAGGAGGGAGATTGGGCCATCAACGGTTATACCACTATAGAAAATGTTTTATTAGCAAGCAGATACAGGATGCCGTGGGAACATCATAGGAGGGGAGATATGAAACCACACAAACACGCACGCACACACACACACACACACACACATGTGGGAACATCGTAGGAGGGGAGATATGAAACCACACAAACACGTGCGTGCACACACACACATACACACACACACACACACACGGAAAGAAAAAGAGGAGGAAGAAAATGAAACTGAAGAGACACAAAAGAGAGACCTCAGAAAAAGCAAACGGAATTTTAATAAAGAAAATGTCTACTCTTCTAAAATCAAACACATTTAATACTTTGTGTGTACAATACATCAAAGATACGTCTTGTTCTTTAAAATATCTTTTCTCCAAATGTTTCTGGGGTTCAATCATGATTACAGGATACATGAAATTAAGAATATTAAAATGACGCAACTACTCGGTACTCAATATAGTGCATTATTTATAAGACTCCACAAGGCACACAGTTTATATAAATTAACATGGACTATATGAAGTGTTCTCAGTTTTCAGGTATTTATCCTTGCTAGCCAGGGTATACGTTCTTTTAATATTGTACCTCAGTGTCCTCCTTTGAAAGATGGACATTGAAAATTTTAAATGAGTTACTATATAGGCACTGATGTATGCAAAATATACTTTGTGTTTTTTATAGACTGTAAGCTGGAAATGCCTTTTGAATTACGTGTGTATTTATGCTAGAAAGCTTGACAAACACTGAACAGTATGTGAAGAATGGAAAGCCTCTTGACCATCAATCCAAATAAATATAATTCAACTATTTGCAGTATTAATTTAATCACTAAGCTGATTACTCTGAAATCCTTTGGTTGCCCAGTACCAAAATGGTTTTAAAGTTAAGGAACTGCTTTCCCACTTAATTCTTGTGGGTGGCTCAATTCCCCATGATATTCAGAGCTGTGAAGTATTTTCGAATGCATTTTTATCTTAAGTGATAATCAATTAGGAGCAAAATAAATCCTGTCTTACAATTTAAAAAAAATGCAGATCACTCCTGAATGACTTTAGTCTGTATATATGCAAGACACAGACTCTCTTTTACCTTCACATCCTGAGTGCTGCTTTTACATGCTGTCACCTCTGTAATGGACCAAAATGATGTCTACTGTTACACCAAGATCGCCCGAGCCAGTGACAATCTAATCTAATCAGGACGGCCCAATCTAATAAGAGTATCAGGTGTAGTGCTTCTAACGTCAGTTAATAGTATTACTTTAAAGAAAGTTCGTTCCAATAAATACAATATATGCATAAGTTTACAAAAAGCACTTCAAGAATGTCTGGTCAAAACTATTGCCAGAAGATTTCAACATCCATACATTTTGGTTCCAAATGTAATTTTGACAGCTACAACAAAAGCAGTAAAAAGCAAGACAAGAAAATCCTGGTCTTTCCTCAGTGATTTCAACCCTATTCCTTGGTTGAATAGGTATTGAAAGTATGTTGCAGGTTGTGCTTCTTTTGAAACAGATGTCAGATGAAACCACATGCTACAGCAGTTTTAGATTTTTTCATTATCGTTGCTGTTGATTTTTTTAAATGCGACCGGGCTTGCTTGCTTCAAAGAAGTCTTAGAGACATCTGTGTGCATGGTCGACATGGCTATTGTTTCATAGTCATCATCCCGAGACCGGAAATCACAAAAGTTAAAGAAGAACTGCAAGTCTCTCTGGAAATTTTTGTTCAGGAATCCATAAAATATGGGATTGACACAGGTGGATATCATTGCTGTGAGGTGGCAGAGCAGGAATAACAGATTATGGTTGCACGTAGCAATGATCTGATGGTTCCAATCAAACACAGTGTTGAAGATGGTAAGCGGCAGCCAGCAGACTGCAAACGCTACCACAATGGAGAGCAGCATGATGTTGATTCTTTTGGTTTCACTGGACCTGTATTTACTGTCTCTTATCTTGTCCATCATGTTGTTTCTCCTTTTTAAGCGTATATATATCTATAGAGGAAAGAAAAAATGAGTTCAAGTAGAACCATTCAGTTAACAAGAAATTCTTTGGAAAGAAGATAAAAATGGAAATGGTAGGGGGAAAAAAGTTTTCTTACCTTGAAGTAGCAAATAAATATAAAACAGAGTGGGCCAAAATACTGCAGCACCAAGAGGAGAGTGGTGTAAGACAACCTGTGAGAGTCTGACGGAAATTTATCAAAGCACACGTACTTGCCCTTGTATGCATCAAGTGTAACGTTTTGGAATGGTTCATCGGTCAAGACTTGATAGATCAGGAAGGGCAGAGAAGAAACCACAGCAAGGACCCAGATGACAGCAATACCTACGTAAGCGTGTCTATTATTTGGCCTCCACCCTCGTGGGTTGATTATCAGCTGATGTCTTTCCACAGCAATGAGAACCAGAGAGAAAATGGACACAGTGATTGAAACGCACTGCACAAAAGGATTCAACTTGCACATTGCCTCACCAAAAACCCAGTGGTCCATTAATGTGTAGACAAATGTGAAGGGGAGACACATGATGGCAACAAGCAAGTCTGAGAAGGAAAGGTTCACAATCAGGATGTTGGTAACATTTCTCATCTCCTTTTGCTTCAAGATGATTATGATCAAGGCCAAGTTTCCAGTGACCCCAAGAATTATCACAGCTCCATAAGCTAAAGCTAATGTAAATATCATGGCCAAGGGCAGATGACAATCATCATCTTCAAAAGCCAAAAACTGGGAATTCTTCTTTGAAAAGTTATAGTAGATTGAATGATTTTCGACCTGGGAAAATACTGTTGAATTCATTTTGATTGGTTTGGTTGTTATAGACTACTTTAGACAAATGGGCAGTACGTTTCTTCAAAGCAGGTCAAATGTTCGGCTTATTTTTATTCCTCATATTGGAATCCACTTATCAAAATCAGCCTGAATTCTTCATTCCCTTGAACTGAACAATCTGTAAAGAGAAAATGACCAATTGTATTACTAATTTTATTGAGGGCAGTCAAAATGAATTCTGACTGATAGTACTATCTAAAGCGAAGACACTGAAATAAATAAATAAAATGAAATCTGTATAAACATCTTTTAAAAATAGCAGAAACAGTGCCAAGACTTTGAAAAAAATCTCACAATATTTTCATTGGACTTGCTCATACATTGTTATAGCAAAACATAGTGGCCTGTAAATTAGTAATGCTCAAAATCTTATATAAACGGTACTATCAGCACATTCCTAAACACTGTAAGAATATGAATGTATAACAAAAAATATAATGCACAGCCCAAAACATAAGAAAAACATATGAAACAAGCAAAGAAAAACAAAAAAATTGACTTAACTCTTCCTCTTACTATAGAAATGAAAGCATTGACGTAGAGGTCAAGTTGTACTAATAGCTTCACCACACACTGAATTACTCTTTAAGGCAGATGTTATGTAACAAGTATATTCAAAAGGAGATGATTAATACAGTGAAACATCAAAAAACTTTGTCATATGAAAGACTGTTGAAGGAACAGATGTTTAATCCAGAAAAGACTTAATAGGAATGGCACAGACGTCTTCTCATATTTGAATGGGTCGCTTGTGGCATAGGGAACTGGGCTTAGAATAGTATGTGTAAATATACAAGTTAGAAGTAGAACCGAAGGAAGTATAGTATATTAAAAAACCAAAACAAAACAAATTTCACATCATTATGAGGAACAAAGTTTTAATCTAATGGAATGAATTGCCCTCAAATCTAGCAAGTGTTAATACACAAAAGTTTATTACTGCTACATGTAAGACATTCAAAGATTGTGTAGAAGATTCATTTGGATAGCTCTGTTCTTTCTAACTGTAAGAGTCTATGATTTTATTAGTAAGGCAAGCTTTCAAAGGATTTCTAAGATTCTTTTCGTGTAAATACTCCCTCCCCTTTAGAGTGTATATAGGTACAATACAGGCATCTAATTTTAATCATAATTTTAATCTTGTGATATAAATTTTGTGATATAAATACTCTTTGCTTACCAATAAATTACAGATAATAGTTTTGCAAAGATTAAAAACTCCTTTTTAAAAACCTCTGATTTACCCTAGATTACTAAGTAAATATATGAAATGAGATTTCTTATGTTAATTAACAGGCCATTGTGCCTGTGTTATGAAAGTGAATTGGGTTTATTTCTTTCTTATGTGAGAACAATAAAGAAAATCATGCAGATTTACTTCCATTGAAAAGGAGATCAGACATTTAATGAACCAACAACATGTGTGCCTTTTAAGTGGTGCCTCTAATGAACCTTCCCTTGAGTGTTTCTGCTTTCTAGAATATAGAGTAATTTTTTTATTATAAAACCACAACTTGGATTTATAAAACTGAAGAAGAATAAAAATAAAGGTTGCTAATATTAAGTAAGAATGAAAGTATTAAGATGAGAAATGGTAGTGGAATGATTTCAAATGAGAATGTTGTTAGAAATATGGTTCTCCCCTCCTCTGTGTGAAAACCTATAACTGTAATGACTCCTAAACTTGCATGGTAATCACACTTTTTCTCTCAGGAATACCAAAGGCAGAGAGAATGATTTGTGTCTCTTAGTGTCTGGGAATAACCTTGAAGAAGCAAATAATAATCTAAAAATTCTTTGGAAATTTCTCACTTAAGATTTCAAGAAAACTTTGCATCATACTTCATATTCGGGTTGTTATCAACATATTTAACATCACTTATTAGTTAATTGTGAGTTTTTCTTCATTATTTCAAGTAAAAATAGCTTGATAGGAAAATACATCTTCTTTATCTCACGACTTCTCATGGCTCCCTGTCACCAACTACCACCAGGGTGAGTAAATGCCCAGATGTGACACAGGAGGTGTGGACCACTGAGTACATTCCTCAGCCTGATGCTTGAAGAGCTCTACATTATACTTCTCTTTTGCTTTTTGCCCTTGCTCTAATAACCCCATTGTGAATGCTCTGTTCTAGGCAGGCCAGTCTGTTTACCGTCCACCAAGTGTGCCTGGCTTGTTTTAGCATCTGCATCTTTGCCCTTGCCATTCCTTGCTGGGTGTTCCATCTCATCACAATCCAAATTCTACGTATCTTTCAAAGCATCATTTAGTCTCATGAATCCTTAATTGGCTCCTCTCAATTAAAATATAACCTCTTTAAGGTAGGTGCTGCATATACCTCATAGTTAATACCTTGCAAATATTAGATTTAGAATCAAAATGTGTTGACTGATATAGTCGATGTGTGGGTGGAATAGTAGGTTCTTTCTTGAGTTAATCTTAACATCTATCCTAGTCCTTTTACATGCAAAACACATGCTAATTACAATAGTCATTTTATTGGGTCAGGTATACAGGAAAAATGTTCCACTTTGTGTTAAAAAGAGAAATTGTTTCTGAAAGAAAGCTTATTCATCCAATAAATATTTATTGAACACTTATTTTGTGTCAGACTTGGTTTTAGTGGAGACAGAAGTGACATTTTCATTGAGTTTCTAGTCTTGTAGGCAGAGAAAGACAAAATAACAATAATAATAATAATAATAATAACAACAGTATGCCAGATTATAATATATGCTATGGAGAAAATTAAAGCAAGTAAAGGAAACTATGATTATTGGTAGTTGCAATTTATTCCTGGGTAATAGGGAAGGCCTCTGCCTGCCCGAGCAGATGGCATGTGCATTAAAACGTGACAGTGCTGAGCAATGAAGCCATGTAGAGATCTCAGGGATTGCATCCCATTTGGAAAGAGTATAAACAGTGAGAGAGACTAGTATGCAATTCATTGGAAAAGGTAAACGGAGGAGGAACAGACTGTGTAAGTGTCCCATTCCATGGGACAATCTTTGACATTTTCCTCTGAGAAAGATGAAGAGTCACTGGAGAGTCTTTGGTAAAAGGGTGAAGTTATAGAACTTGTTTTAAAATTATTATTCTAGTTGCTGTTTTCAAGACAAGACAGAAGAGAGAAGTAGGGAGATTTACTATGAAACTAGGGCATTAATCCAGGTGAGAGATAATGAAGGTGCAGACCAAGGTGTTTGCAGTGGAAAGGAAGAAAAATAGAAATTTTACATCCATGACTAACTTTGACAAAATTCATCATGTATGGGAATTAATGCAAACATTACAATGTATGGGTTACAAAGACAGCTTTCTTGCAGATGAATTTAGGTAAGTATACTGAAACTCTACTCTGATATCTTTGAAATTATATTTGATTGACATTTCCTATGAGGAATAGCAGTTAAGAAGTTAGCTATAGAGAAAATGTAAACTATTTTTAAAAAGTATTTGCTAGCCTCTTTTGTTAAATGTATGTTGAGTAGTCATTCCATTTGGGTAAAACAGTTCCCCATTGGATAAAATGTGTATTTTCAGCCTATCTTAGTATAATTTAGGAAAGAGTAATTTTCAGAAAATAACAATACTCAGAGATAAAGAATTTATATACATTATCTTTGCAAAAGAAAATAATTTGACATTTGCTATTCCAATATATATTTCTAAAATAAAGTATGTAACTACAGATATTGAAAAAACTAAAGATTATTAAATCTCATGATAGCTGTCATGTGCATTTACAGACAAAACAGAGACACTGCATAAATCACCAGTTGTCAGATTAACCCCTTTCCAAATGGAAATTTCTCCTTTCTGATTAGAACACTAGCCTTTCACTGCTAGCTGTTCTTAGTGCTGTTAGTTACTACCTGAAAATAGCTTTCTGGTCATATCTGCTGCAGATAAATTTTCCATGTACTCAGCATTAGTTGTTCACCTCCTTTGCTTTGGAAAAGAAATGTCAGCCTTGTTACCTGCAGCCTCCCAAATTTACTGTGAGTTTATCTCCCATGAATTACATAAGTCCCTGTTCCTTCCTCTCTGTGGAAGGGCTTGTTCAACAGACGGCTGCCTTAAACAATAAGGAAGACTAGTAAAGCCAGAGCGACCCACCGAAAGGCACTCGGTCTTTAGTCACTGGTGGGGAACTGGGCTGGATAGCTTTCTGCAGTCTCGCTTCACTAGGAAAGCAGCCTGGAGTCTTGGGACTGACAGCTACCATTTCCCTGTTCAGAGAGAGAGAGAGGCAAGCTCTACACTTACCCTTGCCTCTATGTCACCTAAAAAGTTATGGTTTCTTCTAGGATCCAGGTGGCCGTGGCAAATCTGAGAGCTCTTTAAAAAAAGGGGGAGGGGGAGGCAATGTCTAATCACACTCCTGCTCTCTCCTCCCCTAGGTTTTTCCTGTGCTGCAAGCTTAGACGCCCACCTTTATTGTGTAATTAGGTGAATTGCCCCAAATTTTCCTCATTCCTAACGCCCCCTCCCGCACATACAATTGCCACTCATCTATCAGGGAATGTCTTTACCTGTGATGATGAGACTGGCAAAACAGAAAACATCGAAACCAACTAAAAAGAAACAAGCAGAGCCCAAATTCAGTGAGTTCCCCCTGGCCCAACATCAGTCCTTAAAACGCTGCCTCTTTCCAGTCTACCTGGAGACCAATGGAACACTCAAGTCACCTCCACCTCCAGTCCATCCCCAGTCTCCCAAGTCCCAAGGCAGCCTGGCTCCAACAACACTTCTAAAAGGAGCTACAGAGTTCCATGATTAAAACTCAAAAATAAGACAAGGTTCAGAGTGTCTACCAGGGCGCAGCGACGGACGGTGGGGGCCCAGCACAGGCGAACGGGGCTCGATTCCGGCCCAGTCGCCGGGACCCACCAGTGTTCCCAGGGGCCACGCTTACACTGGGGTCCACGGTCCCCGGGTGAAGCCCGGGCCTCCACCTGCTCCCCGCCCCGCACGTGCCGCCAGAGAGGACGACCCGCCAAGCCCGCCCTCCCCCAAACCGCCAGCGCTGGCTCCTCTGCGAAAACTCCAGTGAAGCTGCCCCAGTAGAGGCTGCAACCAGCTCGAGGAAAACGAGAAAGATGAGAGAGGTG